CTATCTAACAACATATGTATGTATGTATGTATGTATGTATATATGAGTGCATGTGCATAGATACATTTAACTACATCCAGTAATGGGTAGTAAATCGCGCATATNGCTAACAACATATGTATGTATGTATGTACATATGTATGTATATATGAGTGCATGCGCATAGATACATTTAACTACATCCAGTAATGGGTAGTAAATCGCGCATATGTATGTAACATCCACTGCCTTCGTTTTGGTTTGTTGGAGTTTGAAGTTCAAAGTGTGGTCTATCCACCAAGTTGAGGTGGTCAACACAAATTTTTATGTTCGCGCACAACTACTAAGGCACTTTCATCCACGCCTATATGCTTACATATGTATTGATATGTATTCGTATAACTATCTGTATATAATATTGACACATGATTCCATACATACATAAATATATATACATATATTTTATCGCACGATTGTATCTATTTTAGATATAAAAGGCTGTGCTATCCCTAAATGTAGCCAGCCTGGGAAACAAATGCAAATCTATGCACATGTGTATGTGTATGAGTAAACGCACCCTTTGTATTTTCCGCACCGTCACATGGCTTTACCAAACTGACAGCTTCGGCTTTTTATATTTAAAATAAATTTTATTTTATATAAAACAAAATGCATCAGTGATGCATGTATAGAGCAACGGTAATGCCATAAACTATGCAAAATAAAATAAAATTGCGCACAGTATTTGCAAACAGGTAGATATGTATGTGTTGCCATGCATAGGGTTTGGGCCGCACGATTGCGTGTCGCGTGCAAAATAAACTAAAATTTAGTGCAATCGTTTGATGAAGTAAAACAAAAAGAAAATAAAATTATCAAACCATTGCCAGCTTGGTGGTGTGTGACACATGCAATGCGNGCGCACGATTGCGTGTCGCGTGCAAAATAAACTAAAATTTAGTGCAATCGTTTGATGAAGTAAAACAAAAAGAAAAAAAAAATTATCAAACCATTGCCAGCTTGGTGGTGTGTGACACATGCAATGCGCCTAAAATCATGCTAGGCATTGTAATACACACATACATAAAAACTGTAAAATGTTTTTATATAAAGAAAGTTTTTTTTTTTTAAGTGCCAAGCGCCAAGCGAAATGGTGAATGGTATTTTGTTAAAAAAAAAATTATTTTATAATATATTTTATGCTATAGAAAAGAAGCACAGTGTTGCAATCTAAATGGAGTTAAAAATGTATGCAACAAAAAATAAAAAAAGTAAAATAAGAAAACTATACTCCATTTAGACTGACGCTACTATTGCATACGATTCAACCTGAAAATGAATTTATGCACAAAAACAAAACGTCCTTTAAAATGAAATAAAATTAATTCATTTAAAATTAATTGAAAGTCTATGCAATAANAAGTAAAATAAAAAAATAAAAAAAGTAAAATAAGAAAACTATACTCCATTTAGACTGACGCTACTATTGCATACGATTCAACCTGAAAATGAATTTATGCACAAAAACAAAACGTCCTTTAAAATGAAATAAAATTAATTCATTTAAAATTAATTGAAAGTCTATGCAATAAAATAAAATAAAATAAATTACAATTAAAACACAAACGTTTCGCGATCAGTTGTGGAAAATAATGCAAACTTCAAACACAAAAGCAGAAAGCGTGAGTGGGAGTGCAGCAAACAATAAAAGTGACATGGAAATAACAGGCAGACACTGGACTAAAACCATTTCATAGACAAATGCAGTCATACTCGCATATCGTTGTACGTTTGTATGTATGTCTACCTTTTGCCTTTGCTCACTCGCGCATATTACTTGTTTACACTTTTTTTCTTTCTAGCGAACTTATTTTGTTTGAATTTTATTATTGGACTGTGGTATGAACTCGTAGATGCGTATGTATGTATGTAGAAGTTGCGCTGGAAACTAATTTGTCGTGGCCACTTCAAAAACGTGCAGATATATTTATGTATATGTGTGTGTGTGTAGTCATCGCCCGTCCGTATGCAGACATGTTTGTAGTCCAGCTAACAAAATCAGTTACTACCAATGCTACATTTATGGGGACCCTCAACTATGCTTGCTTTTGATGATGCNTGTTTGTATGTAGATATGTCTACATTTTGCCTTTGCTCACTCGCGCATATTACTTGTTTACACTTTTTTTTTTCTAGCGAACTTATTTTGTTTGAATTTTATTATTGGACTGTGGTATGAACTCGTAGATGCGTATGTATGTATGTAGAAGTGCGCTGGAAACTAATTTGTCGTGGCCACTTCAAAAACGTGCAGATATATTTATGTATATGTGTGTGTGTAGTCGTCGCCCGTCCGTATGCAGACATGTTTGTAGTCCAGCTAACAAAATCAGTTACTAGAAACGGTTGCTGGTATGCAAAAATGCCAATGCTACATTTATGGGGACCCTCAACTATGCTTGCTTTTGATGATGCGCCTAAATGTATGTCAACTAATATGATGAACGCTGTGAGGGTACAGCGAGGCTTTAGTGTTTCGTAACTGCGTGAATTCAATTTAAAATGAGTAAGGGAGAGGTANGTACAGTGTTTCGTAACTGCGTGAATTCAATTTAAAATGAGTAAGGGAGAGGTAAAGAATAAAATGAAAAAAAATCGTATAACAAGGAATGGAGTTCAAAGCCTGACAAATCCGTAAGATTTCATAAATACCTTTATTTGGTCTATGCATTCTTCACTCTGTGTTAGTTCTAACTAGAACGTATAATATGGCGTGTTCCGTAGGTACCCTAGCTGCGTTGGGAAGCTTAGAATACAGCTAGTTGGTGTCTAATATATCAGGCCGCGCATAAATAGGAATGCAAAGTTTGTCTATGCTTCTCGCAGATTGTCGAACACAAAGCGACTTTGTCATTACTGCTTTAATGGTAGAGACGCCGTTTTTAAATACGATTAATCGAGCAAAAAAATTAAGGGAGCTTGGCGCCTCCCATCTTTCCGACTAGAGAGAGCAATTACCAAAGAATTTAATGATTTATCTTCCTTTCTCCTCGGACTAATGAAAGCCTTTTCACTAGTTTATTTAACAAAAAATACTCGAAGCGTAAATTGGAACAAAATGAAAGCATGACAAGGCTGCAACTAAATAAGTAAGTAATATTTTCTAAGAAATATTCGGTTATGCAGCTTTGTATTCCATTCACATTTAGTGCAATAAAGTGCACTGTAAGGGCTATAAAATAACATTGATTCTTGGCGATCTTTGTTGTTCTCGGTGCAAGGCATTTTATTTAATAAAAGTTTTGTCTAGCATACTTTGTAAATGCGCACTAAAATTTTTTGTAAAAAGGTAATTAAGTAGTGATATATAGAGCTAGCGAAAAAGAAAAAAATATTAAAAAATCTCTACATTGCAAAAAATTGTGTGTATAATACACTTTTTAAAATGTCGGTTTGTGCTGAAATAAAACATAAAATTTTTTCTCTTTTGTGATAAAAAAAAAAAGAATTTCAAAAAAAAATTAACATTTTTCCTAAGTAGGGCTAAGATTTAATGACGTTTCTGTTCAATGTTGTCTTATAGCCAGTTTCACGAAAGCACTTTAAGTGAAAAATTATTTTTATTTTTTATTTGAATTTGGCAGAAAAAATATATTTTTTTCATTAAATTGCATAGATTAATAAAATATCTATGGACCAAAAATATGACGCATGAAAATAAAATGATTTACGTTTAAAAATACTCAATAACGCACCACTGTTTCGTCAGCGAAATCCATCCGCTACTAATACCAACAACTAACACCATTCTTCGCTTTATTTGTGGGTCGAATGAGTGCGTGGATTGACTTTATTTGCTTGTGGCATGCACATGCCACACAAACATTCAAACAAACACACATTAACTTTTACGCGTTTGTGCATTGTTAATTTGCGTACAACGCAGACGGTTAGCCGAAAATGTAAGCGCCTAGCTCGCGTGTATGTATGTATGTATGTATGTGCAACAAATCATCAAACATTCAAAGTTTGAGGTACATAACGGCACACTGTGCTGCGCTCTGGGTGCTGTGTATAAAAATTGACGTGGGGAAACATTAATTTGTGTGTGTGTGTGTGTGTGTGTGTGTGTGTAAAGTAATAAAAATAAAAACTAAACCAGCAACAATGTTGGCAAATCAGATAGCAAACAAGCAAAAAGCGAAAGCATTAAAAACGGAGTCTACAAAACCAGAAAANTAAACCAGCAACAATGTTGGCAAATCAGATAGCAAACAAGCAAAAAGCGAAAGCATTAAAAACGGAGTCTACAAAACCAGAAAAATTTTTATTTAGGCACATACCCACACCCATGTAAATTGGTTTACGCATACACAAGTAAAGTTGCACACATGCATACTTGTCCTAGCACATATTTATGTGGCGCTCACTGTATTTTTTAGCTAGCAGCTACAACTATGTGACGTGCAATTTTATTTGGTTTTTTTATTTCGCTTTCTGCTGGACGTCTATTACTTAGTTACTTCTGCCACAGCGCAACCATGTAATTGCACTCGGCTGTAAGTGTAGGCTTATTTACTCTATGCCAGGTTTTGTGCATATATAAATATGCATGCACGCTATATGCATATGTGTGTAGGTGAATAAATCCATACCTTTGTACGGAGTGGTATGCATTAAAGGACGCCTGAAACAAAAATGCGATGATGCAAAAAAATATTTGAAAACACACATGCTTTGTTGGGTTTTAAATTTGCTGCCATCCAACGTTGAGAAAGGTCGGGAATCGGCAATAGCTCAGCGAGGCATTAGAGAATAGGTACAAACGGATTTTATATAGATATTTGACATGCGATTATAAATTTTGTATTAACTTTTTGAAAAATGCTGGAATAAAAAAAAAGGAAATAGATGAATAGGTTTAAAATTTAAAACCAGTCGAATCGTATCTAATAAATTCTAAAAAATTAACGGTAATTCGTAGCCACTTGAAATTTGCACATTATCAGACTAAAATTGTGACAAAATCACCAGAAAAAGTTAGATACCAAATTCAACCAAAAATTACCAAACTTATTTTATGTGCAGAACTGTACATATGTATATCGTAAGTTCAGATACCATAAAGTTAAAATCCCACACCAATTTTGTCAGGCAATCTTCGTTTTTCATGTTATCAGCTATAATTTTTATGTCTACGAGAGTGCTGAAAGCCACGACATNCAATTTTGTCAGGCAATCTTCGTTTTTCATGTTATCAGCTATAATTTTTATGTCTACGAGAGTGCTGAAAGCCACGACATCTGCCACGTCTCTGCCAGCACCCTAACTGTTTTTACGCATGCACATTTTCGCAAAATGATGACGTCTTCGGATTTATGCATAAGGTAGCTAAGACCTCTGAAACAGCTGGAAACCCCACCAAATATAGTTTAAAACAAAAATAAACAAATTTATGTATGTATGTATTTACATATGTATGTACATACGCTGCGATTAGGTTATAAATAATGCGCCATCTGCTACTCAAAAGCCGAAATACCTACACACACATACTATTCGTCTCCTTCTTCCACTTCCAACGCATGTACGTGTTTGCAAAATGATGACGAAGTAATTTTGTATGGAAAATCATTTATGCCCATATACTTGAATCAAATAAACATACTTAGAAGATATCAACCAATACTTCCCATATACCAAACGAAAGGAAAACTCTTGAATTTTTGATTAAAGAAAACAAAAACAAAATCATTCGAGCGGTTTTCGAGCATTTTGGTAATGAAAAAAATTTGCAAATTTTTTCAACAATTTTTTGCCTTAAAATGCTCAATATTTGTCGAATTTACATAAACTTTGTACACAATAATATTTCTATTGCTCCAGGAACCTATATCCCGAAAATGAAAATTACATTTGCAAAGCATAAGTTGCTAGATCACTATAATGACTCAAAATTTACCACAAAATAAGGCAATATTTACCGTTGTTTCTATGACAGAAACCGAATTGGTTACATACAAAAATGAATCTGTCGAATCTGTGTGTTTGAAGTTTTGTCTTTGAAACGCCGCACTTTTCTTTGAAATCGCTTGATTAATTCTTGTGCAATAAGTGATTTCGTGAAGCTCTAAACATTTCAACTATAACATTTGAGCATAGCCCCAATATTGAAACGTAAGACGTATTCTACGTCAAAATGGAAATTTGAAAAAATGTCGCTTACATATTTTTGGCGGTTAGGGCTCGATATCTGTAAACACCGGAAACTTTTTTGGTCAGTATATAAGACCTTTACTGATCAGCCAGCTAGCTCAACTTAACCTTAGTCCATCATCTAGGAGTATAGGACCCAACGCCTAGGAGAGTATTTAGTAGTGACTTTGTATTCATAAAAATACGCTTGAGCTCATTTTGTAATCGAGGTAGGGCATTATCATGTTTTCGCACTTGTTAGGACTATACAATTGGAGTGTACTTTCAAACAATTCTTATATATACCGGTTGAGAACTGCAGAGCTATGTGCTATGGAACGAATTAATTTGAATCTTGCAACTATTGAAACACTTTTATGCTATATTCTATCAGCTTGTGTATTCCTTCTTAATTTTAATTCATTGCATTTACAAAATATATTAAAAAGTGCTGTTGATACTCGAAAGCTTCTCAAATATTTTCGCGAGCTGTACCTGCATTCTCATATTTAGTGCCTCATCTCCCCACTTATTTCTTGTTTGTGTACTGCAATCGAACAGACGTGAAGTAAACTCGAAATCATTTAATTTAAGCAATATAGTATTTTATCAGGAGATAAATAATGCTGTGCCTACATACATACATATGTACATACATACAACGTAAGGATACATACATGCATATGTACATAGTATCCATAATATTTTTTCATTAAGAATGGCAGCCCTTAGACTTTTTTTGATACAACAATTGGATCATATAGCTTAATGAGCCCGCCTTGTAAGTACAAACATACATACGTACATATACTATATATGCCTTGCAAGATAACCATACTCATGCTGCTGCTGCCTACCGTGTTTGCTTCAATAGTGATCGTTTCACTCCTATACTCTTGCGCGCCTTTAAGTAGGCTGTAATACTATAGGACAGGCAATAAAAATTCGAACGCGTAAGGGAAAGCGACGATAAATAAGAATGGCAAAAGTTTGGTTGGCTGCTGGTCAAGTTTTTCGTGGTCGCGCGTTTGTTGGTGGTCGTTTTTTATTTGTCAGACTTGGAAGTGTGGACAGCCAGTTTTGTACAGCAGAAGATGAGGCAGAATGTGGAAAAAGTGTATACAGGCAAGCGCCAGGATGTAGGCAACAGCAATTGGCGAAAGTTAAGAAACAAAAAGAGTTGAGATGGTGGCATTGTGTGTTGGCTTAACCCGCGCCGAAGTAAGTTTGCTGCG